TATGCCAATCACTAGCTACGGATTACTCCATTCCTCCATTTCTAGAAATAGAAATGGACAAAAGCAGCCACCAACCGCCAATTGTGACTGTCCCCAAAACTGGCTAAGATCTGTGGCTAGCATTATAACGAGACCTCTGACACATTTAGATTCAATATCTAGGCTTTTAAGTAGAAAAAACTGGTAGAAAACCTAGTTGTCTAGGTTAATATATCATAGGGATCTCTACTCTGGGATCCTCTGCGGTCTTTCAAGCACAAGGCTGGTCTTTGTGTTCACCATGGAGAAGCATCTAATATAGAGTGGAGGGGAGCAGCTATATGTCTACTAAAGGACAGTAGGGATAATGCACCCCATCTTCTATTTCTAAATCATCACATTGATGTTAAGTATCAGAGATTGGAACCATGAGAAACCTAATTGCATTATTTAAAATTTTTTTCTAATGTTTAAATTTTAAAAATAAGTATTGATTTGCTTGGTTATTTAAGACAATAAGAAAGATTTGTTTACTTCTCACTTTCACTTGCACTCAATCTCCTGGCCAGAAAGGGTTTTAGAAGAGAAACTTTGTGTGTCTTCACTGCTTTAGAGAGTATTTTTTGTTTTGTTTTGTTTTGTTTTGTTATTGTTTTTCTAGGCATGTGTTAGGATGGGAGAAAAGGAAAAAAAAAATCATGTTCAAAATGCTCTCAGGCCAACTTTGCTCTCCTTGGCTGAGAAAATTAAGATTTTGGTGTGCTCTGCCAAAGTGAGTGAATTGAATTGAATTTGTTTAAATGGAAGAGAAACTGGTGCTTCTTGGCCTCCCACAAAGATCTAGGGATTCCATGACAAAGAAATAATAATCCCCGTGGCTTCTGGACTAAAAAGAATTCTGTTGCATTGATGTAAACAAACATCCTAATAAAACACCCCTTCTTCTTTAAATACATTATTAAGAATTATTTTTACTTGTCTTTTTGACTGAAATTTAAAAAAAAAAAAAGTCTTTCAAAGATAAATTAAGTGACTGACCAGGAAAATGAACCCCCGAATGAAAATTCAGCAAACCTGCCAACTCACAGTGCTGGGGTTTTGTAAGAGAATCTCACTCCTAATAAAAAGCATAGAGCATTACACGGAAAGCCTGGGCTGGGCTGGGAAACAAGGGCAGTGATATTCATGGAGGAAAGAGGAAAGCCATGCGTGTGTGTGCTCACGGGCATTTTCCAGTCAAGTGGAAGAGGTGACATTACAACCACTTCACTCAACCACAGCACTGGAACCAGATACATTTTTTTTTTAAGTTTTTTTGTTTTTTTCTCTCCTGGGAATTGAAGGAATCGAATGATCTGTGAAGAAATTCTCCAACAGCTAGAAATGAAATCTGGGGAGAATTTTTAAATGACACACATAGTGTGTGGCTCCAAGCATACTTTATGTCTCCTGCTCCCAGGTTAGGCTGGATTGGGAAGGCTAGAATAACAGCACTATAGACAGTAACACACAAACACACACACACACACACACTCTCTCTCTCTCTCTCTCACACACACACACACACACACACACTGTCCTCTAGTACTGGCTACAAGATGAGAGCAAGCTACAAAAACAACGTGGAACAAAAGAAATGGAGATTCTAAAATGTAATATTTCAGAACATTCTTAATTGCCAGGCTCAGAGGCACATGCCTGTGGTCCCAGCTACTCAGAAGACCAAGGCAAGAGAACCCCTTGAGCACAGGAGAATGCAAGGCCAGCAGCCTGGCTAACCGAGCAAGACATCATCTCCAAAAACATAAAACAATAAAGGAATACTGGGGTACTCATAATTAGTTACATTGAACAGGATTACAAAGCCTTTGGAATATGTTGGTTCTTAGATGTTACCCTAAGGGAAATTTTTAAATATAATCATGAGGAAACAACACTAAATGTAGATAAAGAGATTTTATAAAAGAGATAGAGAGTCTATAAATTATGCTATACCTAACAGTGAGATGCAGCCACTAAAAGTGATGGTTTTGGAATTGGGAAATTAACTCAGTTGTAGAGCACTGACCTAGCATGGGTGAGGCCCTGGGTTCCATCCCCAACATCATCAAAAAAAAAATAAATAAAAAAAAAATATATATATATATATATATGAAAAAAAGAATAGCATCACCTTAGATTGGGTAGAGAGAAGTGATGGTAGGGGAGAGGAGGGGATGGGGGGAAAGGAAGGACAGCAGAATAAAATAGACAATAGACATTATTATTGCTGTGTATATATACGTGACTGCATGACCAATGTGATTTTACAACCTGTACACTCAGAAAAGTGAGAAATTATATCCCATCTGATTCAAATGCATGATATGTCAAGGTCATTGTACTGTTATGTGTAACTAATTAAAACAAATAAAAATTTTTATTTAAAAAAGTAGTAGTTTAGTTTTATATTTATTGATAGAAAGGTATTATATAAAGTAATAATTACATAAATTATATACTTCTAATAACATAAATAGCATTTTGTTGATATTATATAATAAAAATGCATGTCTAGTATACTATATAAACTGATATAGAGATCAGATTGCAGTATTGAATGAAGATCTAATTCATTTTGTGCAAATGTGTATATACACAAAACAAATCTTAAAAGATAAAATAGAGAAAAAAATACAAATGTAATCTGTATTATTTGTCATATATTTTGCATAAATACATGTATATGTTACAAAGTATACAAAGTATAAAAGTATAAGAGTGAAAGAAATCAGAAACTGGTCACTTCTTGGGGAGAGACTTCAGAGATTATTACTAACAGACTACATACAATTTGCTAGGGTACAAGAAACATTTTGATGTAGGTGGTGGTGACATGTGTATAATTTTTAAAATGTTAAGAAATCCACTTATGATTTGTATAGCTTTTTTATATGTATATTATACTTTGATTTAAAAAAAAAATCCACCAAGTGCAGTGGCATATGCTATAATTCCAGCAACTCAGGAGGCTGAGGCAGGAGGATCATAATTACAGGTTAGCTGGACAACTTAGGGAGACTCTGTCTCAAAATGAAAAATAAAAAGGACTGGGGATGTAGCTCAGTGATAAAGTGCCCCAGGTTCAATACCCAATACCCAAAACAAAACAAAACCATAGGACCAAGATGCTAAGATTACTGTCTTGGAAGATTTTCATCTTTCTCAGTCTGTCTATATCTATTACTTGAATGTCTTACAACAATCATTATGTGCATTTCTTCTTCCTCTTTTTTTTTTTTTGTATTAGTACCACGGATTGAACCCAGGGGTGCTTTACCACTGAGCCACATCCCCAGTCCTTTTTGTCTTGAGATGGGGTTTTGCTAATTGCATAGGATATCATTAAATTTCTGAGACTGACCTCGAACTTGCGATCCTCCTGCCTCAGCCTCCTGAGTCACTGGGATTACAGGTGTGCACAATGGCACTCAGTTATTTCTTTTAGATTCTGAAAATAATAATAATAACACAGCCATTGTTTTGGAAAAATAGTCAAGCCATAAAAAACAGGATCATAATGACTTCAAAATCAAGATATAATTTTTCTCTGCCAGCCTCTTTTCTCAATTGGTGATAGGCATATAATATCAATATCATGTTTTCCATACATTCTAAAAATGTTCCCAACCTCAATGAAATCAACAGTTTTCACTCGGTGGTTAAAAGGTATAAGTAACATGGAGACCTAATCCTCCTGCCTCATTAGGAAAATATCCAGCCCAAAGAGGTCATAAACCAGAGCAGTGTCCAGCCCGGGAGGGAAGTGAATGAGAGAGAGGATGAAGGAAGCCCTGTCTCAGATTCCTGCCGCTCTGGCCTAGAAGTTGAAGGGCTCCGTTGAGGTGTGTTGCTGTGTACGTGCCAGGCTCTGTTTATTTCATGTTCTGAATGATTCCTTTTTAACCTACCAAGTATTTATAGCCCATAGAAACTCAGAGATGAAAGTTTTTTTCCAACGTGCAAAAGCCACAAATGACAAAATCTTGTTAGAGTGGCCAAAGCCAGGAGGCCTCTCAAGCCCGTGTATGTGTCTGTCCGTCTGAAGCCCCGTTCATTACAACGGAGCTTTTCTGGGCTGGTCCTCAGAGGAGAATGGGTGACCCTAGGAAACCACTGCCACCACTGTGTTGTGAGCTGAAGGAGAGCCATTGAACACAAACAAAAAGAATGCTTCAAGGACGCATTGCAACACAATCAGAACCATGCCACAGGCTCTGATGGCTAGAGGGGACAGCAGGAGTGACACAATTAGGGACAGGAGTGGTTCAATTTAGGGGGAAAAAACCAACAGAAGTATGCGGTCTGCCGGACAAAGAGGCCGAGTTCTAAAGCACCCCCAGAAAGCAGCTTCCACAAAGCGCTGACCATGTGCACAGAGCAGGCTCTGCAGATGGCTCTTTAAGCCCCACTCAGAGCTGGCACTCTAAAAAGAGTTCGGGGGCAGCAGGCTTGCAGGCAAGGGAGAGTGGAGCTGCGTGAGAATGTGCGTGTGCCCTCACGTACCAGAGACAGTGCGGGCCAAACAAAGCCCTACCTGGCAGGACTGGTGAGTCTCCAGCCTGCTTCTGCTCTCTTCCTCCTCTTCCTGTCCTGTCCCCCCACCCCAGCACTCCCCACTTTATGCATTTTGAAGTGATAAGCCAGTTTAGAATGCCCACATCTCATTTATTCAGCCATTTTGGTCACCAAGCTCACTCAACCCATCAGTGAACACTTCTCCTGTAGACAACGGTCCTCAGAAAAGAAGAGCTTGTGGTGTTCTGGAAAAAGCTGCACCATAGCTACCAGGAATACTAAGGGGGTACATTATACCCGCCCCCCACTTCACCCCACCCCCTGTGACAATGACTAATATCAAGAAGAACTAGGGAAGCTATAGATGAGCAGGATACTTGGAATAAAATGCCATGTTTTAACCAAATTGTTCTCCTGGAATTCCAAGCCTACATTAGTCCTTTATCCAGATGCTCACAACCTACCTCCCCAAAATGAATTTCCACCAGCCTTCAGTGTGCTCCTGAGTGGGGGGAGATGAGGGGACTCTTGAGTGCTTCATTGTACCACGCTGCTCCTGAGCAGGAAGAACTGTGGGCGGCGGAGAGCTAACTACAGACTCTAAACATTGATGTTTACCTTTTCTTGCAGTTCGTGGGGGGACGTTTTCCTTCTTCAAATATGAGCACAGTTTGCAATAACATTAGTGAGAGGAATGTACTCGCATCTTGTGGAAAAGATAAACACTGTAAATCCTGTCTGCTTTCTTCCAGAAAAAGGCTCTCTGGAATAGCAGGCGTAAGAGCAAAAAAAAAAAAAAAAAAACCCACAAAAAAAAAAAAAAAAAAAAGGATTCAAAAATACTATTGCTTTATCAAAAAAGAAAAAAAAAAAAAAAAAGAGAGAGAGAGAGTGGGATATTGGATTGGGGGCCTCTGAGCATGGCTGTGCAGTTTGTGTTCTGAACAAACCTAGGGAGCAATTCTCAGAGAGGCCGTGATGGGCAATCTAATCTCTACAGCAATACGAGGATGTATTGCTCGATTCTACCAAAGTAAAGGAATGTGTACTGAGAGATGTTGTTATCCTGAATCCATGTCAGTGCTTGCTATTCTGTCCTCTTCTGCATGGGAACCCAGGTAAAATGACAGTGTCAGGCCTGCACATGCCTGTCCCTTTGTCTATCCTATGCCCCCAAAGCCTATCTCCCACACAATAAGGATGTGTCTTCATATTGCCATGAAAGCCATAGCTCACCATCCTGCCTCCCAATAGCAATAATGAGTGTTTCCATGCATTAAATTTCTACCACAAGCCAGGGCCTGCTGTGTTGAGGGCCTGTGAAGTCTGTGTAATTTTTTTTTTTTTTTTTTTTTTAGAGAGAGAGAGAGAGAGAGAGAGAGAATTTTTTTTTTTTTTAAATTTATTTTTTAGTTTTTTTTCGGCGGGCACAATATCTTTGTTTGTATGTGGTGCTGAGGATCGAACCCGGGTCGCACGCATGCCAGGCGAGCGCGCTACCGCTTGAGCCACATCCCCAGCCCCCAAGTCTGTGTAATTTAAAGAGGGATGTGGCCCAAAAGCAAACTCAGGTCTCCCTGAGCCTGGAAACCATACTCCCTCTCCAGTGACCATGGGGCCACTGTGTCCCTCTACTTTCTCTGACCTTCTCTCAGTTCCCAGGGGCTCAGAATTTCTGCTACTTTCACCTCGAGCATATTTACCATCCAAACTCCTTCTTGTCCTAACGAGTTATTAGCTCAGTATTGCTTCCTCAAAATAGGCCAGCCCCCTGTCTCCAGTTCCCTTCTTCCCCACAGCACGGTGTGCTGTTGTGTACATTGTGTATGTGCTCCTTCCTGTCCAGAGTATGCCCTGCTGCACTTCAAGCCTTTCCAGGGCAGGGCTGTGCCTGTCACATGGACCACTGGGTGCCTAGTGCCTGGCACACAGTCAGGCGTATCAACATCTGATAGAGTGAGTAAATGGATGGTCAAGGAGGGGCTAAGAGAGGCAGATACTGAAGCAACACTGTGGTTTCAGTTGAGTCCTCTTCAGATTGCTTCTAGCCTAGTGGGATCCTAACTGTGAAGAAAATCCATTCATGCCCTCCTTCAGAAACCATTTTCTGAGTGCCTAGGAGGGGGCAAACACTTCAGTCAGCCTCCCTGTGCACTAGCCTCCCCAGGACAGCCCTCAGCTGGCTACCTCCTCACCTCCCTCTTCAAAGAGATTTTCTAGACTTTCCCTGGATGAGGAAATCCTGGCCTTCTATCCCACGGGGCAGCCATCTTCCCTAGATTCTCCTGCATAAAACACAGGCTGCTCACTGCTTTTTAATGTTACTGTGACTCTGTCCCACCACTAAATACAATATTACTCGTTAGTTTCATGTACAATGATCATATTATAGTGATATAATACACTGTGACAATCTTGATACTCTCGTCTGACAAGCCAACAAACCTGACAATCTCATTTTAAGGCATCTGCAATTTAAAGAAAAAAATGTACACTCTAATGTCATTGCGCCCTCCCCATTAGAGGAGGGGTTGGACCCACTTGGAGTACGACATTCTGAGATGCTGTCAGAATTTTTAAAGTTAAACAAAAACCCTCTTGGTATTACAAGTGAGAAGACAATAGCAGCCACTACCTGAATAGATAGCTGTCACTCCAGAAGACAGCCTGCGGGCTATTCAGAGACGTTGCTTCTAAGGGGAGATATGCTGGGCCTTCAGAGGGTGTTTCCACTGGGTACCAGATTCCAGCTGCCGATGGGGTAGGGTCCTCCCCTGGCATGGTTGGCCCCTCATTGCACGGATTCCTCTGTGTCTGGGGAACAAAGGCTGCAGGGGAGGAACTGAGGTAGCCTAGTTATGTTGTAAGGCTAGATTAATCCAGAAAACTGGTGTCACAAAGCTCTGTCCGGCCATGCCTCCCCAAGACTTAATGCTTCCGTTTAACTCCATGTATTTTTTAAAACCATGCCTGCCCTCAGATTTTTTTTCTGCCTTTTGTACATATAAACTCCTAATCAAAATTAATTGCTTGCATTCTTGGAAAAAGAAAAAAAATTACTTAGCTCCATGTTATAAATAGAAGAGCAAACATTCTAGCCAGTTCTGATCCCTGCGAGGAGGAAGAACCCCCAGGTGCTTGTAAAACCATCCAGTGCGCTTGCATCAGAGCAGGCGCCATGCTCCGCAGCTGGTTTCGAAAGAGCCAAGCGGAACCTGCACCTCAGCGGTCAGAGTCAAGGCCTCGCACTTGCAGGGACCGCGCGGCGCGTGTCTGGAATCATTTCCCGGCCTTAATAAGAAGCTCTGTCCTTTCCCAGGCAGCAGCCGAGTGCCCCTCCGTGACCCCAGCACGCAGCAACACCGACTCTGAGAAGATGCTCACCTTTGGGGAAAAGAACGCTCTAATCTTGATCCTGTTCCCACGGCTGCAAGAATGCCCCCTGGTTGTGTGTCCTCAGTCTTTTTTCTTGTTTGCTTTTGTGGTCTGGGTACACTGATCCTTTCCTGCCTGGGTGAGAGAGCAGCGCGGCCCGCGGGGCTCCCTCCCTCGCCTCCTCATCTGGGTAGCAGGCTTTTTTCAACCCCCAGTCCTTCTTCACAGGTAGGAAGCACATCACAACTCATTAGTAATTTACTGCTACAGTAATTTTTATAATTACTGCCAGGAGGCCTCATTAAATTTGATCTAATGAATAAATATTGTATTTTTCAACGTGATTACCAGAACAGCTTAAGCTGAGTGCCATAAACAATTATTTTCCTCACTACTCAGGATGTTGGTGACTATTGATTTTTATTTCATAAAGAATTTACTGTAGTAATACCAATATAAATGACTTCAGGAATAGGCAGCGTCCCCCGTGTCAATTTGCAAAGCAACATCTATCCCAGAAACAGCAAAAGGGCACGGCTGAGAGGCAGAAGGAAAGAAAAAATCTGTCCAGAAGAGAGGTATGTGGAGTGTGTGTGGCCAAGGACAGGGCTACCTGAGCACACCCTAGGGCACAGACTTCAGATGGTGGGCTTGAGATTTTTGACTGGTTGGGTAGCACGCTCCGGGGCTGAACAATAAAACCGGCAGTCGATTTTTCCCATTTTACAAGAGTCAATAAATTCTGCTCAGTTAGAAATTTCCAAAGTAAAACATGAAAACAGGCCATAATAGGAGACTCCCACTAAACCTTATTCAGCTGTTTTTCTTCACCTTTCAGTCACTGTCTTGTGCTCTCCTAATTCCTCCCTGCCCCTTTTCTGTTAATGGAATTTCACATTTTAACTAGTGGGATGGATATTTCTTTCTCTCTTTTGGTTTATATTCCATCTAATGCCCCCATCCTTTTTATATCATAAGCCATGGAGAAATGTGTTGGGAATCTCCTGGTTTTGATTTCTCTTTCTCTAATCCAAGAAGCACTTTGCTACCACAGGTGACATTTATTTCTGTGGCTTACCACTCCAACCTCTCTCCCCTCAAAGAACAATGGGCCTCAACACTGGTGCCATATTAGAATCATCAAGAAACTTGTAAAACATGCTGATACCCAAGGCCCTTCCCCATAGACCCTGATTTAATTGGCCTGCAGGTCAGGATATCACTACTGTTTTTGGAACTTACCACAGTTCAAAATAGGCAGCATCCTCTGTGTCAATTTGCAAAGCAACATCTACCCCAGAAACAGCAAAAGGGCATGGCTGGGAGGCAGAAGGAAAGAAAAATCTGGCCAGAAGAGAAGTGCAGCCAGGGTCCTCTGCCCTAAAGGAATAAGTAGGACAGGAAACAGAGTTCCAGCCCACAGACAGCCAGAGTGCCTGGGAGTCGCTGTGATGAGCTCACTTGTTCCCTCTCAAAACTTGAATGTTGAAGTCCTAACCCCTTCTACTTGAAAAAATGGCCCAATTGGGAGAAACGGCCTCTTTAAAGAGGTGATTAAAGTAAAATGAGGTCATATGGGTGGGCTCTCCTCCAATAGGACTGGTGTCTCTATAAGAGAGGAGATTAGGACACAGACAGGCACCGAAGGAAGATAGGGAAGAGAGGACAGTCATTTACAAGTCCAAGAGAGGCCTCAGAAGAGGCTCACCCTGAGACTTTTTTTTTTTTTCCCAGCACTGGGGATGGAACCCAGGGCCTACAGTGCTCTGCCACTTAACTGCGTCCTCCACCCTTTTTTTCTTTTGAAACAGCATCTTGATTACTTGCTAAGGATAGCCTCAAACTTACAATCCTTCTGCCTCAGCCTTCCCAGCAGTTGAGATTACGGGTGTGCACCACCTAACCCGGCTACTGCTAACATCTTGATCTCAGACTTCTAGCTTAATGTGAGAAAATATATTTCTGTGGTTTAAGCCACCCAGTTTGTGGCACTTTGTTTTGTTTTATTTTTAAAGTTATTTTTTAATTGACACATATGTATGGGATACAATGTGCTGACTTCGATACATGTATCTATTACACCCTGATCAAATCTGGGTAATTAGCATACGTATCATGTGGTACTTTGTTCTAGGAAATTAGCACAGGAGTCTTCACAGACTGCCAGTGGAGCCTAATGGAGTCATCTAAGCCTCAGCCTCTCAAGGCTGTTTGCTTGTATTTAAAAAACTAAAAAACAAAAAACGTTCAGGGCAAAAAAATAATTTGTAAAAGCAGCTGCAAAACAGCATATCCAATACAATCCAAGTTTTGTTAAGAAAAAATTTGTACATAACCAACCAAACACAGAAAATTTTAAATGCTAAATGCTAAG